TTCCAGGCATAAAAAGTACCAAGGCCCTAAAGAAGAAAGGAAGATGGGATGTGAATGACTAATAGAAAGCTTGTGAGACTGAAAAGCAGAGAGCATATGAGGAGAGTAGCATAAAATGTGCACGTTTCAAGGCTGATGAGAAGGGGACAGTAAAAGGGAAATGAGGGATGGAAATGTCAACAAGATAAGGTTCTAAGAAAATAGAAAACAGGATCCAGAGCAGAGGTGACATGAAAGGACTCTCTGTAAAGCAGAAATTAAGTACATCTGCTCAGAGTAAAATGGGGGGTATAGCGAGAGGAGATGGATGATGGAAAGTAATGTAAGTGTAAAAGAGTAATTTCAGAAGATGAAACAAAAAAGTTGGCCAGAAAACAAAAATTTTGAGGAATATTGAAGGACCAGTTTAGATTAGTCATCAAATGGAGACTTCCTTAAAAAAACTTTTATGCTATAAAAATTCCCTTTTCCATACAAATTGCTTCACAAATCATCAAATAATTTTCAATATAATTGTTTAACAAAATTAGAATAAACTGCTTGGTCTTACTAAAGAGGGGGGAAAGCAGAAGCTCCAGATCATGATTCTATTACATGAATCATGTAATAGAATGTCATCTTCAGTTAATTTCCTAACCTTTCCATCTCTTTGTTTCTTTAACCATATAGAAAGTGGATAATTACATCTTCTTTACAGATCTGTTATTGTAATTGAGATAACAAATGTACAGTGACTAACACAGAGCCTGACAAAGAACAGAGGCTGAACAATGGTTCCTTTTGTTCTTAATTCCTAAATTGCCTGCTGACACAGCTAGATGACACCTCTGTCTTGTTGCTCTCAAGAAAAGGCACTAACTCCAAAACACAGGCTCTTTCCAATACTACATCCTGCTTCCCAAGAAGCCTTATATCTGTGACATGATTATTAAGCGTTTAATTCTCTCAACTCTGCAAAACCCAAAACCTGACTTTGTGAGACACCCAGGTCTGAGGAAGACAGACACACACAACTAAACTCAGAGATGTTACAAACACAAATATCAATTTATACATAAGAAATACAGTAAATTCCATGAAGTGAACCAGAATGTTAATATTGGCAGATCAGGAAAGGCATTTTGGGGGAAGTAAAAAAGGACTAAGTTGGGTAAAGAATGAATACAAAACAGATAGCTAGATAAATTAGACCAGTAAGTGTGTTCAAAGAACATTTAACAAACTACAGAGGCTGAACAAACCTGGTATGTTGAGGGAAGCAAGGGACAGACATAAGTGTCATTTGAAGATGTAGCAAGATGGCAAGCAGCAGATGGGGTTATAGTTTGAGATTTATAATAAGCAAAATTGTTGAAGAATTTTAAGTAGTAAATGAACATGATTAGATATCCCTTACATTAAGATCACTGTGGAGGCAGTATGAATATTAAATGGAAATCAGACACTAACAGAAGACTAATACAGTAACCAGGATAAGAAAGCTAAGGGTATGAAACAAGAATACGCAAACAATCAGATTACACCAGGAGTCATCAAACTATGCTCATCGGACAAATATGGTTCATTGCTTGTTTTGTTAATAGAGTGTTAATGGAACACAACCAAGCATTTACATATTGTCTATGGCTGTTTTCCTGCTACAACAACAGAGTTCAGTAGCAAAAACTGAAAACTAAATGGCCTACAAAGTCTAAACTATCTACTATCTGTCTTTTTGCAGAAAGTTTGCTGGTCCTTAGGTGAGCTGATTTCCAAGTTTCCCAGTTGAATAGTGGTGCTCCATAGTACCTAATGAACACAACAGAAGATATATTTGACAACTCTGTTTTTTAATATTCTGAGTTACAGAGTCATTGTGATGGCCTCATGGAATAATGTGGATGATACTAAGAATAAGCTTGCTCAATATACATTCTGGCTTACTTTTAGTATGTGTTTGCTGTAAAAGGGTCCAGATATGACTAACGTTCTGTTAACCATAAGTAATCGTGTGACATTTAGATGGCAGAGGGAACACTTTTCCTACTTCTGTTGTTTTCCCTGCCAAGCTTGGTAACAGAGGTGTTTGGATTCCCTCTATTGGTTCTAACGGGGCCTAGTGTACAGTCCCTAGCATTATGAGTGCCAAAAGGCAGAACAGACAACATCCATTTTGCTGATCTAGATCCTGTTGAAGAAATATGGCTCTGAAGCTATCAAATCCATTGAAGGTTATACAAAACACCAGTAGGCAGTTTGCTGACATGGAGGAAGCAATACCTCCCCAAGTTGCCCAATTCTGCACAGTTCAGTAGTTCTGAGAAGCTCAGATAATGGTCTTTTTCTTGAGCCCTCCCAACCATATCCTATAAAATAAATCCCTATCTACTAAAGCTTCCTAAAGTAGGTTCTGTTCTCTATAAGCAAACTTTAACTAATACAAGCATCCTGTAGGCAGGGCAGGTAGCTATAAAGATTTAGTCTTTACAAGAGAGATCTTGGATGTAGATGGAGATTTTAAAGTTATCAGCAAATGGGAATATATGAGATTATCAAGGAAAAGCATTTAGAATAAAAAGTAGTCAAACAGATATAGAGAACACAAAGAATAAGGAAGCAAGCAGAAATTGTTAAACTATGAAGAAATCAAAAGGCAATGCCAGGAGAAAAAGAAAAAAAATAGGAGAGACTGAGATACAGAAACTAAGAAGAAGGTGTCAAGAAGTTGAAATGGTTACCAATGTCAAAAATTTGAGAAAAGCAAAAAAAAAATAAATAAAATAAAATAAAAGTCCTTTGGGAAACTGGGAGGTCACTGGTGACCTCCCTGAAAGTAGATTTATTGAAGAAGTCATGTTAGAAGTCACAATAGTGTAGACTGGGGACTATATGAGAAGTCAAGAAAAGGAGACAGTAAAGAGCAGCCTGTTCTTTCAAATAGTTTAACTGTGAGGTAAATAGACTAGGAAACAGTTGCAAAATAAAACTAAGTAAACAGTTAAAATTGAAGATTTCTTTTTCCTTTTAAGTGGGAGAAATATCAGTATCATTGTTTGCTGCTAATAAAAACGAAAAGGTTGAAGATTCAGATGAGCCAAAGAGCAAAGTACAGAAGTAAGGCAAAAATGATGGTGTGGGACTAGCCTGAAATAGGAAGGGTAGAGATCTGAAGGACTTGCATCTTTAAGAATGAACATGGCATGAAATTGAAAACATGCATGCCTTTCTGACCTTGATTTTCTTTCTAAGGAGTGTAACAAGAATATCTCATGACAATAAGGGAGAAGGGATTGGAGGTTTATAGTGAATAAAGAAAATATGAAACAACCATCTCTGAAATGGAAGAGGGAACTAGGCATAAAAAAGTAATTGGAGCCCAGATGCATCTCAGAAAACATAAATTTTAGTTACATCAATATTACAGTGGTCTGTGTTCTGTTTGTTTTGGTTTTGTTTTTAAACAGCACTGAAAAGCCTAGGTATAGAAGCAAAATAGGGATAAACATTACATGGTCCACAGACGGCATTTTGCTGTGCAGGAGTAGTAGAAAGGTAAGGGTGAAAGCATTTGAGGGTATCATCAAAAGCAATGGTTCTTGGTACCAGATTTACTGAATCAAAAATTCTGGGTGTTGGGCTTAGTGTCTGTGTTTTAACAAGTCCTCCTATCAATTCTGATGCATGGTGAAGTTTGAGAATCACTAATTAGGAGAATAGTTGAAGAGACACATTCTTGATCAATTTAATATAAAAAAAATAAGTAGAGCCAGAGAAGAGGCTCTACGTAGAGCCACAGACATAGGCTGACAGAGTAGAAAACCATCCAATAGTAAAGGCATTTATGCTCTAGATGAGTTATGAGATTGATGGTTTTTCTTTTCTTTTTCTTTTTTTTTTTTGAGATACAGTTTTGCTCTTGTTGCCCAGGCTAGAATGCAATGGCATGATCTCAGCTCACTGCAACCTCCACATCCCACATTCAAGTGATTTTCCTGCCTCAGCCTCCTGAGTAGCTGGAATTATAGGAATGCATCACTATATCCGGCTAATTTTGTATTTTTAGTAGAGACGGGATTTCTCCATGTTGGTCAAGCTGTTCTCGAACTCCCAACCTCAGGTGATCTATCCATCTCAGCCTCCCAAAGTGCTGGGATTATAGGTGTGAGTCACTGTGCCCAGCCAAGAGATTGATATTTTAGATTAATGAAAGAAGCATGAGTTATAACAGGAACAAGGGAGTGGGAGGCAGAAAAAATAGGAATCTATCATCAAAGGAAGAGACACTGGAGTCTTAGGCCAAACGCTAAATGACAATATTCAAGGTGATAATGAGGGAAAGACACTAAAATAGAATGGAAGGGAAGTTTGGGCTAGTAGATATTAAGTCAAAAAATTTTTTAAATTATGGGACAGTGATTAAGATTGCAGAGTTCTGGGTCTAGAGTGATTAAGTTTGAATCCAAACTATATAATTTACTAGCTATGTGATTTTCAACAACTTATTTCTCTGTTTCTTCAACTGTAAAATAAAATTAACAACAATACCAATCATACTGGGTTGCTGAAAGACTTAAATAAGGAACAGTGCTTTAGGCAAAGCAGGCATGGTCAACTAGCTATCTATCTATATATGTACATCATATAAAATATATTTCATGTTATATACATTATACATCTGAAACATTAGGTTTAATATATTAAACATACAGTAAATGTTTATTAAAATTTAATATATTTATTAAAATTTAATATAGTAAATATATTAAACATGTATTAAATATGTTAATATATGTTAAATACTAACTTTAACATATTTAATAAATGTTTATTAAAATTAAATATATTAAATGTTTATTAAATATGTATATTAAAATTTCCCTTAACTATGCCCTACTTTCTGATTTAAACTGTAGACATATTTTCTCAGTGATAAAGACATATATTACTTTTTTGAACTCAAAGTCAAATGTTCACCTGTATTATAACACATTTTCACATTTAAAAAGTCTTGTTTTTATTACCTGAGTCTCCAAACCCTGCTCTAGTAGGCGCTTAGCTTGATTTTCCACTTCAAGTCGGGCTCTTGCAATAAAAAGTAGATCATTTTCTATCACCTCGATTCCAGAAAGGTCTATTCCTTGAGAAAGATAATCTGTTTAAAACAAAAACACACGCATTCAAATATTTCAATACTCAATAAATATCAAGGTATCAAAACAAAAACGGCTATTGAACAGGGTTGCCTTACAAAATGTGTATTTTAAAAAACACAGTTTCCCAAATATTTTCTACTTAATAAGTAATTTCTAGAGTTAAATGCTCCAAATAAGACAGATTTGATAAGGTAAGACTAGAAATGATGATTGTGATTATCACAAGTTTAAGGAAATGTGAAGAGATCACATTAGAAAGTGTCGAATTTAGTATTTTAAAGTAAATAAATACCGTCATATTTTAGGAAAATTCTAAAGATGCCAAGTACAGTTTTTTGTTGTTTTTTTAAGAGATGTGGGAGTCTCAATACACTACCCAGTGCAGTGGCTAGTCACACATGTGATTATCTTTCACTGCAGTCTCAAATTCCTGGGCTCAAGCAGTCCTCCCACCTCAGCCTCCGAAGTAGCTGGTACTATAGTACCTGCCGTCATGCCCAACTATTTTTATTTAAGAGATAGTGTCTCATTATGTTGTTCAGGCTGGTCTCAAACTCCTGGCCTCAAGTGATCCTCCCACCTTGACCTCTTGAGTAGCTGGGCCCCAGTATTTTTTAAAAGCAAAATAAATGGCCCTCATCACATTATATAACCATCACCAGCTTCCACTTCCCCAGTTATCCAAGCCATATTTACAATCACTCACTTTAAGAAGTAAACAAACAACATGCTAGATTTCAGTGAAAGGGCTTCAGCGGCCAGGAGGGAGAAAGGCCTGTATTATTTTACTTACTAATTAGTCCATAAACCTGCTTTTCAGTAAGAGACATGCAGCAACAGGGGGAAACACACACACACACACACACACACACACACACACACACACACACACACACGAGAGAGAGAGAGAGAGAGAGAGAGAGAGAGAGAGAGAGAGAGAGAGAGA